CCTTGAGGTCTTGTGTCACCTGTCTGACAGGCACAATCGCAGATCTGGGTGTTTAAAGTTTAATGGCCGAAGCAGTGGGAGCAAGGGGAATAGGTCTACATACAGTATTGATGACTCCCTTTTCATCAACCATCACCTCCTCGACCTCTCTCTTCTCAGATATGATGACCACTGTCTGGCAATGTAGGGATCATCCGACCTGATCCCACCAGACATGGAGAGGCGTATAATCATCATGAGTTTTAGGGTGGTTTCCCAAGGATGGGTTGGATTTAGTGCGAAATTGAGTTGGAGGGTGTGAAAGGTTTCGATAGTGATGGCCTGTGATATTTCCATTGGGAAATGTTGGTATAGCTGAGCACCACAGGATCGAGTTAAATGCTGTGTCAGTCCCAGTTTGCGGGTCAGTCTAGAACAGTGCTCTGAGGACCTGGGCAGCATGGGGCTGATAATCATTGCCAACAGTCAGAGGCAATATGCTCAGGATTGGATTTTTAAAGCCTGTTAAAATATTACTGAGGTGATTAATATTGAAATATGCGCATGTCTTTCAGCTGTCTGTCTCCTTCTCTCCCTATTCTCTTCTTGATTTGTTCCCCTTAGTATTCACACTCACCTAAATTTTCAACATTATGCATTATGTTGATGAGATGTGTCTTTTTTATTCAATGCAATTGCTTTATCACATCACTTGCTTTGACTCCACAGTGGCTCACTGTCATAGATAGAAAAGGGGCCATAGGAGAATCAGTACTGGGCTGTTTGAGTTATTAGTTTGTTTAATAATTAATTTCATATATTATGATACACCAAGAATAAATCTCTGTCTTTTGTGCACACGCCTGCATAATTCCAGCTCTATTTTTTTTTTCTTCTGTTCTGTGTAAACAAGTAAGGGAGGAGCAGGAACTTATTTATGGCTACATTACTCATGTTATATTTCTCCTCTGCTATGGCTGGTTTGTCTCCATAGTTTCTTAAAGACATACTAATTATTCAATTCAGCTATTCACAGCAACATTTAAATAAATGTATACTTATCTTATTTTTATTTAAAATTAAATTAATTGCACAAAACAAACAAAATGTTTCTTACAAGCAGGATAGTAATATGTGCCACAACCTCAGCTATATCAGTGAGTAATATATGTCACATATCATACACAAGTATATGTGACATATTGTGTTTTGTTTTGGGATAGTGGCACTCTTACACAATCCACACCAGTGCAGAGAGTGTGACCAGCACATACTGAGCATCAGCTCTGAGGGATGATGACATATCGTCCCCAAGAGGAACATAGCTGCCAGAGGGCCGTAACTCCTCGGGGACCACTGCTCACGTCTTCCACAGTTAACACTGACAGGAATCCAGCTATCAAGCTCCCGTTCTTTGCCATGTAGATTACTCTCTTGTAAATCAATTTAGAGGTCATTAGGGATATAAAGAGGTGATTTGGGGCATGTCTAATACCAGGGAATCGACAAATCTATAGTTCAAGAAAAAGAAAGAAAAGAAAGAAAGAGACAAATAATTCCACAGTGCTGCATTTGCATTCATGTCTGTACATGAAAAGTAGCATGTGAAAACATCTGATACTTGTATTTGATAGGACCCTTGAATATAAGGCTGCTGTCGGATATATCATGGAGTAAAATGGAAAAAACGGAGGCCTTGGATCAAGATAATTCAAAGATGAATATGAAGTTTGTTTATTCAGGCCCATGAGTCCATGCGTCATATTGTTCTTGCACTCTGACATGAAATGCATTATTTTCTCTCTGACCTGCCTGAGCATGTGTGTTTACTGTACAGTGTAGATTTGTAAGCAGAGTGCACGGGTGTGGATGTGTCTACATCCTGGTGCTGTGCTGTTTCATTAGGCTCTGATTATGGGGCCTGATGCAGAGTGACAGTGTGCAGATTGAGTTGCACAGCCACTCTAATTCTCTCTATTAATAACAACCCTCCACACTGCTGTCCTGAACCACATTTATTAATCACAATTTGTCATCTGTCCAATGCTCCACCCTCTCCTTCTCCCTTTCTCGCACCCTCCCTCTCTTTAGCTGTGTTCTCCTCCTCCCTCCCTCCCTGCCTCCCTCCCTCCATCCCAGCAGGGCCAGTTATCCTCTGCACCTCCCCACCCCCACCTCCTCCTACCCCTCACCCCAGCTCCATTCGCCTTCAGCTCAGAGACATGGTCCAGCATACAGAGGGATGTTCTCGCACTCCTCCCTCACACGCACTCTCCTGCTCGCTCACTTTAACTGCACTCTGGAAGGAGTCTGATTAATCAAAAGCTCTCCAGCTTTAAATTAACACTTAGCAACTTGGATTGTGTTGACTGTTTTGGTAACAATCTACTGAAGATTTATTATAATAAATTATAATAAAATGAACCTCAGTTTGCAATTACAGAATAGTTATGCTCTAACACATAAACCTTGTACAGTGTAATGCATCATTATAGAGATGTTCAAACATTCACCAAGATAGCATGCGGTGGCCTTTTCGAACACATTGATTCTTTTTTTTTTTTTGCATTAATCCCAGCCATCTGGAATTTCTATATACACAAAATGCTGGCATTTAATCAATATGTATGCTGGGATATGCACACTGTATTATTGCATTATTGGTGAGAAAATATTCCCGTTACTAAAATCACATTTCTGCTCATGTCTCAGTCAAACGGCCCTTGACCCCACTCAGAAAGATGATTTATGAGTCAGCTAGTCCCCTAGGTCCTGTTGTGCCACTCCAATTTTCATGCTGCATTTATGCTTGTTATATTGACACTTTTAGGATATTTATTTACCCTGAACTGCAATTTCCCCTCACAGCAGAACTTTTCTCATAGTTTCTTTCTAGTTTGAGTTAGAGACATGAGTGAGTCTGCTCAGCAGTGCAACTAAAAGCCAATGCTTCCTCTGCCACCAACCCTCCAACAACCCAGCGTTACCCAACACCACACACAGCCACACGGAACTAGGGTCCCTCTACTGTTTTCTTTGAGCAGAACGGGTGTTTGGGGGAAAACAGAGGCGATTTTCATGTGCAAATGTCAGTCAGTCCGCTCCCAGCAATCACAGGCCCGTCTTCTCCAGAGATTGGGGCTTGAGACACAGCCTGAATAATTTAGCAGCTCTGTGCCACCGTGCTTTAGGGTCGCAACCTTCTAAAGTGATGACAGAAAGACGTTGGCTGACTTCCCCTCCCATTCACTCCCATTACCACTTATTTACCGTTCCTGATTCCAGGCAGACAAAGCAGAAGGCCACG